CTCTTCTCTATCTTCAGAAACATTTAATCTCTCTCTCTCTCTCAAAATTTCTTGCTCACAAAGCAAATCATCTTCTTCACTTCTCCCATACATCAACAACAATCAGGAAAATAACAAAAATCTTAAACACTTAACACAAAATTTCACTAGAGAAACTATAATTTGATTTTTGATCTGAAAAAATGAGTTGCAATGGTTGCCGTGTGCTCCGGAAAGGCTGCAGCGAGAATTGTATTCTCCGGCCATGTATTCAGTGGATTGAAACCGCCGATGCTCAAGGTCACGCAACCGTCTTCGTCGCTAAATTCTTCGGCCGTGCCGGTCTCATGTCCTTTATCTCCGCCGTACCGGAATCTCAACGTCCCGGTAATTAACCTAACCACAACCAAAAAAAAAAAACAGATCTCAAAAAATTTGTAATCGTTTTCTGATTTTTTTTTTTGTGGATTTCGAATTTTTGTGCAGCTCTGTTTCAGTCTTTGCTTTACGAAGCTTGTGGAAGAACAGTGAACCCTGTAAACGGAGCAATCGGAATGTTATGGACTGGGAATTGGAATATATGTCAAGCGGCGGTTGAAACGGTGCTTCGCGGCGGTTCTCTGAGACCAATTCCGGAGATCTCAGGCGGCGGATTCGCTGGGTTTCCGTCGGCTACATCTGAAGAAGTATCTGAGATCTGTACTGAAATGTTGAATCTCCAGAAGAATAATTCAACGGATCGTAACATATACCATCATTCACGGTTTTCAAGCTCTAGATCTAGATCTACGACGCATGATTCTTCTTCTCCGACGAAGCGGAAACGATTAGTTGCAACGGAAGAACCGTCTTCGGAGCTTGATCTATCTCTGATCAATACTTTTCCGATTATAACAAGTCCTCCTTCCACACGACGGAGATCAGGAACACCGTCGATGAACTCAGAGGAATCTGTAACGACGACTACTACGACGTCGTTTTGGGACAATACTGCAACGGGTGATCTGTACGGAAACGGAGGAGGAGAGAGTAGCAAGCTGCTTAACCTTTTTGTTTAACGAAACGGCGTCGTGTTTTTTTTTTTTCCTCTGGTTTTTAGTTAGGGTTAAAAATGTAATTTTACACATTTTAGTACCCATTTTCGTGGATAAATGATATTGGACCGACGAGTTTAACTACTGTACGTGGGTTTTGTTCTCTCGGTTTATAGTTGTTTAACTAATTGTAAAAGTTTTATTGAGTGGAAATTTAAAAATGTTCAATGTTGTTAATTTACCTATAGTTTTTTCTTCATAATAATCCAATAAGTCAATAAAAATGTGCCCTAATTCCTATGATTTTATTTAAGGATTAATTAGGTGAATATTATGTTTTGAATATGTAATTAAACGAGTAACATGCATGGAATAAAAATTAGGTGAATAACAAATTATTGATCTAATTGGATAAAAATGTTCTTAATTACAGTATAATGGAAAATGGTTAAAAAAAATCAGTAAATCTTAGAAAATCCTTAAAAATCTATTGTCAATCATAGGAAATTTGGTCAACCGTGAAAATCTCGATCTAACCAGACTTGGCCTTTCTTGATAAGACGAAGGCACAATAAATAGTTATAGTCAACTATAAAAATTTACATAGTTCACTATATCAAACATACTAGTAAATGATAGTTCACTATATTAAACATACAGTTAAATGATAGTTCACTATATCTCAGGAAATCCCTAAAAATATGTTGTCAATCAAAGGGAATCCGGTCAACCGTGAAAATCTCGATCTTTATTACCGAACCAGGATTGGCCCTTCCTGATAAAGACAAAGGCACAATAAGTAGTTATAGTCAACTATACAAATTTACATAGTTCACTATATCAAACATACATGTAAATGATAGTTCACTATAATATATATAAATTTTTACAATACCTAATGATAGTCTACTATACAAATATACATGCTAATTTACTATAATAGTTCACTATACTTATACAAACAGTAATTCATTGACCAACCATTCTGATAAAGAGACAAAGGCACAATGAATAGTTGTAAGCAACTATACAAATTTACATAGTTTACTATATTAAACATACATGTGAAGGATATTTCACTATACTTGTACAAATTTACATTTAGTTTACTATAATAGTTCACTATTTAGTGTTGAATATAAACTTACTTGTGATTTTGTACTAGCTGACAGGCTAAACGATTCATCTAATAAAATAAAGAACAAGACTCTTTTTACAACTTTTTCCCCACACCTAATCTTTTTCCAATTACAACTTATATAGAGCAGAACTTAGATGAATCTAAAAACCCTAAATTAGCTACCACAATCGTCGAGCAAGTGTCTCATTTAGAACCACTAGTTACAGAATTTTCACGGCTCGACTTTGTTGTACATGACCACTTCTCCAGCTGGCTTCTCCATCCTCAAGATAGTACGGTTCTGGGCTGTACGGCTTTGTCGATTGTTTGAACATAATACAAATATTTCTTCTTTCTTCATTTGTTGTTGATGGGATATTGGGTTTTGTTTGTTTGTATCTTTGAGGCTCAATTTCAAAATATCTTCAATGGAAGAAGAAGACGTCGTGTCGTCAATG